CGCGGGCGGCTTCTTTTTGCTCGTGGCGATCGTCGGTTCTTTCGTCACCTCGAGATACAGGTAGGTCCGTAAGTTCGCTTCGCAGCACGATGGCCGTTTTCAGCCGTTTAAATTGCCGGTAAGAATAATAGATGCCATCATCTCGAGTACCCCCCGTTCCAGCGCGTTGGAATCACGATTGAATCGTAACGCGAAACGTGACCAAACGACGAAAACGCGAAACGCGTTCGAGCGTTCGAGGGAGGAAAGTGTACACGTACGTACGTGGGTGCGTGCGACAGCTGGAGAATCGGCAGCTGCCCGAAATCCAGATAATTTCCGAACGAGTCCTTTGTACTCTCGATCAACTATCCTCGCTAAGAGCAAACTACGTTCGTTCGAGGGACGGATATTCTTTATACTCGCGACGCGCAACGGACAGATACGTTTATCAACGACGCGCGTTATCGATCTCCTCCTAACCGAACTTTCGTTTTATCGGCAAACTGCCGTTCCTGCCATCGATGCCGTCTTTTCGCTGAAAGCGCATCCTTGTTCCCTTTTCGTTCGATCGTGAAAGACTTTTTTTTAAACGACCAGCTCTTTTTTAAACGCGTGCCATTATTCGCGAACGACGATAACCGTTTTATTCGTAGCCGAAAAAGGACTCGATCGCTTTCCGTTTCAGAATGGCCGCGAAAGAAGCGCGTCGAGAGGGCAAACGGAGAGTCGATCGCGACGCGAACGGGATCGGAGCTTTACCCTCTTCGGACTACATCGACCGAGGAGACGGCTTATTAGTCGGATTGGATACCTTTACCGCGGCCAATCGTCACTTTCTTCTTCCCAAAACGGATCCGGTAAGTTGAACGCGTTCGAGTCGTTCATCATCGATCGACGCACCGTAGCGTCGGGAATCGCGACGTTGACATTTTTTCAACGAAAGGAGAAACGTACATATGTAAATGTATAGAAAAGTACTGTCGACTTCGAGGAAACCGTATCGAGCCTTCGACTATTAATCTTCTGACACGGTAAACGATTTCTCGAGAGGACGAGACCGGTAAATAACGAGACCGATGCCGTGAGCGAAATTCAACCGAGTAACCTACGTTCACGCCATTTTTCTCTCCTCCACCTACGCGCGGCCACGTTCTGCTCGTCCACCAAAGGTGGTCGAAGTAGCCTCATCGATCGTAACTAAGTAATTTGAAACGACTTCTCTTCTCGGCATAATTTTATCGTAGAAACTAGGAACGTTTCTCCTTTTTCGCAAGACGTCGATAAAGATAGTCGATCGCTCGTGTGATTAGCCGGATCCGAAATGGGAATTTCCACGATCGCGACTGAGCATCGAACAAGTGTTGGGCGAAGGAGAATTCGGCCGCGTACTGCGAGCCAAAGCCATCGATATCGCGGGAATACCCGGTCCCACCACCGTGGCGGTCAAGACGCTCAAGGAGAACGCTTGCGCTTCGGAATTGGCGGATTTGTTGTCCGAGTATCAGCTGCTGAAAGAAGCTCAACATCCGAACGTGATCAGACTACTCGGTGCTTGCACCACCGCCGGTGCTCCGGTCTATCTCATCATCGAATTCGCGGAATTCGGCTCGTTGAGGTGAGTAGTGCGAAATTCTTACGCCTTAGAGAGTAGTTTAGTCACGTTTCTAAATTCCATCGTTGTCGCCGTCGCGTCGGGACAATAACCGTGCCGAGAGCGGAGATCCTCGCGACGGTACATTAATTAAATTCTTCTTCCCGCTGGTATTTTCGCGTACAAAGTGTTCGTGTAGAGCAGAGATACGGAAACGTTGCAGGAATTACTTGAGACGCAGCCGACACTTGGAATCCGAGGGAAGGCTCGGTGGTTGTCCGTCGTTGTCCAACGTCGACGGGGACTCGCAGGTCGCGGAGAGGAGGACGTCGACGACGATTTACTCGGTGACGCCGCGCGACATACTTTCGTTCGCTTGGCAGATTAGCAAAGGAATGGCCTATCTCGCCGACATCAAGGTAATCTCGTTCCTTTCGGGAGACGGTTGCTCGATCGAAACGGTATTTAACGGCGTTGTCCCGTCGCGAAGCTGGTTCACAGAGATCTCGCTGCGAGAAACGTGCTGCTGGCGGCGGACAAGGTTTGCAAGATTTCCGATTTCGGTCTAACGCGAGACGTGTACGAAGACGACGCTTATTTGAAGCGTAGCAAAGGCCGAGGTACCCATTTGTTTTCGACGAATCTCGAAATTTCGCGAAATTAGTCTCGTTCGACGATTATCTCTCGTAGTTCCCGTGAAATGGATGGCGCCGGAATCGTTGGCCGACCACGTGTACACCAGCAAGTCGGACGTCTGGAGCTTCGGAGTTCTTCTCTGGGAGTTGGTCACGTTAGGCGCGTCTCCTTATCCCGGTGTAGACGTGCACAATCTCTACAACCTACTGAAAGCCGGATATCGGATGGAGAGGCCAGCGAATTGCTCGCAACAGCTGTGAGTATTTATCGATTGCTCGCGAATCGTCGATAACCGTCGTTACGTCGCGCGAACTCGTTATATCGTTCTCAGGTACAAGTTGATGGTGTCTTGTTGGCACCAAGAGCCCAACATGAGGCCATCCTTCAGAGAACTTACCGGCCAGTGGGAGAAAATGTTGGAGGATAGCGCCGAATATTTGGATCTGAATCCGAGAACCGTTCACAATCAAGCATACTTTGCTTCTCTTCACGCTTTGGATAGTCCAAGCAGTACGTATCGGTCGATACCGTAGTTCTTTGATAGACGATCGTTTTCACGAAAATTATCCGCGACAGGTTCTGGCAACGACGTCACGGACGGATTCGATGGCACCGAGACCGACGTCGTCAACTACTTGGAGAAACCGTCCCGCGACGCGGTAACCAAATGCGACAAGATAGACAAGCTTGGCACCCTCTGGCACGAACCTATAGCCTCCTTTCCGGAAGAACCCGTGAAACTCTTGTACGCGAACGACCCTACGACCAATTTCGGCCTCGATCATTACGAGAGTCCGATCAAGTTCAGAAACACCAGCGTTACGAGTAACAGCGAGAACGACTTGGTCACTCCGACGAACGAACGGTCTCGTTCCTACATCGACATGAAAGGAAAAAAATCCGCGGAAACGGAAGATCTTCTCGCGTTCGTCGCCACGAACGACGACGAGACCCAGCCAGAACAAGATAACCCGGTTGAAAAATAATAGGCGAACGATCGAATCGATGAACGACAGCACACGTTAGAACGCGCAAACGATCGCTCGATAGATCGAAAATCGATTAAACGTTTCGTCGTTTACTCGCCTCTTTGCGCGCGTAAACGTCTACGTCGTTTCGTCCTATGGTATTTTTTCTCGGTCAACGGCACGACGAACGATTACGAAAAGCTAATTAATCTCGAATCGTTAGAAACTGCATCGTTAAACGTTTACGCTTCCGATCAAACTTTTCCATCGCATAAGGCTTCCAATTTGTACGCGTGCACCGAATAAAAGTACGACAATCGAATGCTCGAGCGAGCGAGCGAGCGAGCACTACTCCGAGATTTCATTTTCGGTCGATGTAACCATATCTTCAGAAGACTGCGTTTCCGTACCTTGCCGAATAAAATTCGTCCTGTTTCCATTCGTGTACAAAACACGACATTCCGTCGCGTTAGTTCGTTACCGTAAACGAGTACGAATTTCATTCGCGCGACCCTCTATGTTCGCTTATTTTCCATAGTCTTCGGCACGAACTATCGCCATAAACGTAACCGTCAACGTCGCGTTTACGTAGCGTGAGCTGGACCCGCTGATCTCACGCTTATACGCGCACACTAAATAAAAATGTACGATAGATTTGTAAGACGACGACGAATCAGCGGTTATAAATGTTAAACCGTGGCAAACTGATACAAACAATTGTACTATAATAAAAAAATATTGATATTCATTGACAAAAGATAAAAAAAATCGGTACATGTACAAAAGTACGCGTCTGAAAAAATTGGCTCGCAAAGAAATTACAAATCCAGTAGATTTATATTGAACGCGTTGTCGCGGATCGTCGATGATTTGCAGAGACGCACGCGTTCGTCCTCTCCGTTTTCTCTTAATAAATCGAAATTGTCGAGAACGATCTCGTACGAGCGGGGTGTCGCGTTATCGCTAGATATGGCCGACGTGGAAATAAGACGGCTTGGCAGTGTTGTACCTTCCTGGTTCCCTGAAACAGCGAAATTTCTGAGATCGATGAAAAGAACAAATTTATCGATTCGGGCAAACTCGAATTTCGTAGAGACTAACCGGTTTCTAGCTTCTCTGCCGAGACGCTCGCGTCTTCTCTCGATATTTCGCGTTCCGCAAACTTCACGCTGCCCAACAACTCTTTATCGGACGCGAATGGAAAGCATCTCGCGCGTTCCATCTCGTGAATTATTTTCACGAGTTTCCGTAACTCTTCCGGTAAACGAAATCTCCTCAAGTGTCTCGTCTCTTCGGGTACGTCGTCTACTTTACAATACGGTAAGTGGACGATATAATACCTTTTGTCCTTTAACGATATATTCTCCTTGTTCAGTCTTAGAAAATGATCGTCGGTACTTCGATAAGCGCTCATGGCAGATTTCTTAACCGGCGGAGACGTTACGACGAGTACGACGTCCGCTTTTCTAAAAGCGGTGTCGAACCACTGCTTCGGATCCTACATTCGATCGAGCGAATCGTTAATCCGAAACCTGCTAACGAACAAACACCGACTTCGATCGGTTACTTTACCATTCTTGATACTAACTTTTCCGGCGGTATCCGTGATATCGGGTTCATCTATCATGGCATTTACGTGACAAGCTTTCAAGTATTCGGCCAACCGGAGCATCACGTTTACGTGCGACAGACGACTCGGCGAATATACCAACAAACATTTTGGTCTTTCTCTCTTTATTTTCACTGCAAAGTTGCCAAGCGGTCGATTAGAATCGCAATTCAAAGGAAAAAAATAAAAAAATCTCTCGCTTAGAAATATACGGCATTACGTGTTTACCCTTCTGGTACAATTTGTAAAGATGATAAAACACGTACAGCGTTACGGGTGGGATCCACACGGTGCTGATGATCATGATCAAAAGACGGTTGTACGTGTTTCCTGTAAAGGTACGAAACTCAGCGAAGAACATACAACGATTCGTTTACATCTCGCATCTCTTACGTATAACGATGCAAGGTGTAGTGCTGTTCGCGCATCCATCTTCTCCGCAGTCCGGATGTACGGCAGAAACTTTGAAATAAAACGTACCAGCGTGTTCGGTAAAATCGTACATAATCTCTTGGTCGTCCGAAGCGGACAATTGAACGGTGTTAGTCACGGAATCGGTGTCGTTGTTAATCCGCCAAATTCTGTACTGTGTTACGTTGTACGATTCCGGTAAAGGTTGAACGTGCAACGAAAAATATGGTTCGTAGCTAACATCTATATACACGAACGGCTCATAGTCCTTCAATTTCACGCCTTCGTCTAGAACGAAACGCGTTCAACCGACGTTTAACAGAGAAAAATAAGCAGTCGCGTTCGTTACTGAAAATTCATCTTTTACGCTTACCGATATTTTTATACCTAGGTACGATGAAAATGTATCGTTTACCGTACTTGTATCCTTCCCCGGTTACGACGTACTCTAACTTGTAAGGAAGAGTTTCGTAAGTTATGCCGCTAAATGGACAAGAGACGTACAATTCCCTGTTATCTGATCTATCGTTGTTAAGCGTTATGTTTCTATACGCCGATTGGCTTTCGTTCAATAGATTTTTATAACACGTATCCAGACCTGTTGCGCGAAACACGCGTAGAAAGGTGGTTGTTCGATTTCGCTCAAAAAACAATACAGTGTTGATTCTTACCATAGAAATCTGGGTCGGTAACGCTTAAATTAAACGCCGTTGATTTACTACCATTTTCTTCGAACACGTATGCCCGTAAAGTAAATTTTGCCGTTAGATTTTTCGGAGGTTCCCGGTTCGCGTCCTTGAACCTTAGTTTAGGACAACCTACAATTTTTCGGCATACCAATAGAACCATTTCGACGATAATATTAAACGTATTCGAAGGAATATGCAAAATACGTACCGGTATCGAGTTCGACCTTCTTCACTAAACACCGAGCTCCGAGCGGAGAAGCAGAATTGTTCTGTAAAAACAAACGAATCGTTTAGCAAATGACAGATCGTACAGAATTATTACGAGGTAAAGATAATTGATAATGGTTACTTCGAGAAACTGGCAGTAATCCGAAAAACATTTGAAAGCCGTGACGCTTCCATGGCAGAAAGAAAAAAGTATCACGAAACTGACGAGTCTTTGCATCGTAAGGTTATAATCGGTATTCAACCACAACAATCTGACACGAACCTTGCCGTCGTCAACATATTCGTATCGTGCACCAAATACCAACAGCTGACAAATGTTTCGATTCTTTCACGATACGATTCGACATTTAATCGTCGCAATCTGCATTTTTTCGTTGCATAAACTTTGTTCGACACGGTTGAACACGATGAAAAGTAAAACACGATAAACCACCGTTACGTTACGACACTCGCGTATGACTAGAACGTTATGACTCACGACTTTATCGAGAACGCGCTCTAGCGAGTGCAGTCGAAATCTTTTGCCGAGACTACGTACTCGGTTGCCTTCGTTGAGCTCTACCCGAACCGAACTACGAACTTGGCTATGTCGACACCTCTTCTTCTACCTATCTTATTCTTTCTATCCGTATTACTCTGTAATAAAGTTGCGGGATCAGTGTAACGCGCGTATACGCGATATGGCTGCATAACGTTTCTTTCTTCGGTCAGTTTATACCCCACGGATCTCGATCTCGAAAGGGATTTTGGGTATTATGTTTAAATTGTATAAATAACGAACGCATACACACTTGCTGATTTGTATCCATTTTATTCGACTCGTTCGAATCCAATTTCCTTGAAATTTCCTTGAAATTTCCTTGAAAATGAACAAATTCTTATCTTCCCTATTATTCTCGCGGTATAACAGTTCTACATACATACATACATATATCTCAGGTACCCAAATACGCTAAAGTACAGACGTTGTATCGAAGCAAATTCGACGTTCGCGCATCAACATCGGTTCGTAATTGAATAATTTGAGCATAACTCGTTTACGCTACAAGTTCGAGCCTCGTAAAACATTGTAGAGTAAACATGGAAGTTTCCTATCGCGCGGGAAACAACGACGAGAAAAAGACGATTGAAATCTTTAAAGAGATTTCCTGTACGGGTTGAAGTGCTTTTTAAGACCTTCCCAGCATCTGTAATAGTCGTCGTCCAACTTGTTGCAAAGTTTCGCTGCCCATTCGGTTATCGCCAAGCTATACGACGTTTCGAACATGAAAGCTTGAGTTCCATCGGCTACGCGCTCCGGTTTAAGCTCGCAGTTCGAAGCGGTATCGAAACAACGCGTATCCGGTCCGTGAGGCGTCATAATAGAGTGCAGCGATGCCCCGCCTGGATGAAAGCTGTCCTCTTTAGCTTCGTACTGTCCCTTGATCAGGCCCATAAACTCGCTCATACAATTTCCTGAAGGTCGAAACGCATCGTTTGATCGTCGGAACGCTATAGACGCGTACATAGGGTGTCCCGTGAATAGCGTACACCGTACAATGCCAGCGACAACGCAACGGAAGGAACGCACGGCACTTTTACCCCGATCAGTTTCGAGCGTTCGCTCGTTGTTCGTCTTTAAAACCAAGTCGCCAAGTCGCCAAGTCGAGAATTTCTCGTTCGTAACAGTTTATTTGTATAATAAACTAAGCAATCTATTAGACACCCGCAATCTAGCCGCATACGCGCAAAGTAGGTCAGAGAGAAATAAACACGCGACTACGGTCGAGAAAAATGGTAGGTGTCGCTCGCGAAGGAAAGGCAAAATTGATATTCGGCGAAAGAAAAAAGAAAAGTTCTCGATCGATATCGAGGGAGAAAATTCCGAGTTTTCACCGATATCTCGGTTAAGCGACTTTTAGAAGCGGTCTAGCGTAACGGACTGGATATCGAGCAACGACGGATAACGTTGGAAAAGCGGCAGGAGGCGCGACGTTCGCAATTACGCGTTGTTATTTCGTTTAATTAGGTAGGACAGCGGGAAGCGAGAAACGAGAAGAAAAGGAACGGCATCGAGAAAATACTTACGATGGTAATACGGCGGCCGGAAAGTGTGCTCCTGCACGGACCATCGAGGAGGGAATATCACGAAATCGGCCGCAGCGGTGCCAGCTTTTGTCGAGGGACACGTCAGAACGGTGAAAATCGACGGATCCTGCGACACCGCGAAAAACCATCGATTCGATTTACTACGTTCTACGAGTAGAACCGCGAGGTTACAGCACGGCTACTTACGCAATGATCGAACGAAACCGTATTGACGACCATGAATTTCGCGAGGTCGTATTTATACGGAACGTAATTTCCGTGCCAGGCCACTACATCGAACGGGCTGTGGCGTTGTCTGGCGACGTACAACTTACCATGGTACTTGCATACGATCTCGTAATCGGTTTCTCGATCTTCGTAAACGGCGACCGGCGTTTGAAAGTCTCGCGGATTCGCCAGGCCGTTTGCCCCTGCACGATCATCGGATCGTTAACGCGCGAACGGAAGAGAAAAAAGAATCGATTCGTTACCTATCGGACCCAGCTCCGGCAGTTGAAAATGATCGTCGAACACCTCCAGGATGTAACCACGGGACGGTCCAAAAACCGTAACGTTGAATCGCATGCCCTGTTGAATCACGCATATCTCGTTCGGTTCGCACAGGATCTTGCCAAATTCGGTGGTTATCACTAACGCGCCTAATTGAGGCACTGCAACAACCAACCAATTTACTTGGATTCGTTCGACGAACAGGGTTACAACGATTAATAAAACGTAGCGAAATTAGTAGGATACAACCGTTCGGGCGATGCGCCGTTAGAAAAAGAGTGGACGCTA